CTAATGGACAGTATACTCAAACAGGAAGGGAAACACTGAATGAATTATTCAGAGTTCACTTTCCTGGTTCCAAATTTATTGACAATTTGGACAATGGACAGGGTCAGCAAAACCTGGACACTTGCCAAAGCAAGATGAACAGGATGGACTTGAACCTGGTCAAAGCCATAATTAATCAATCAAAAATAAGATGGGCACTGAACACTTTTAGACCATTTAAATCAGCTGGAACAGATGGAATTTTACCGGCACTTTTGTAGCATGGGGCAGAACTTTCAGTTCCACGCCTATGCCACATATATAGTGCCTGCTTGGCATATGGTTTCATCCCCACAGCCTGGAGCCAAGTTAAGGTGACGTTTATTCCAAAGCCCGGGAAACTTGATTATACCGAGGCTCAGGCTTATCGTTCTATCAGCCTGTCGTCTCTCCTTTTGAAAACGATGGAGAAACTAGTGGATAGGCATATTAGGGATGGGGTATTGAGGACATATCCTCTACACCGAAACAAACATGCCTACCAAACAGGTAAATCTACCGAAAGTGCACTACACAATGTGGTAACACGCATAGAAAGTGCAATTGAACTCAAGGATATTGCCTTAGGAGCATTCCTTGATATAGAGGGAGCTATTGATAGAACCTCATTTGATGTAATCAAACAGGCTGCTGGAAGGCATGGCATAGAGCCTGCAATATTCAGATGGATCAATGCTATGCTGGAAAGCAGAACCATAGCTGCTACATTATCAGGAGAAACCCTGGGGGCATCTGCGTCTAGGGGATGTCCGCAAGGGGCGTACTTTCGCCTCTGCTGTGGAGTCTGGTCGTCGACAATCTCCTGTGGGGACTTAATGATGATGGGTATTATACAGTAGGATATGCTGATGACATAGCAATCCTCATAAATGGAAAATTCCCTTCGACCATATCAGAGCATCTTCAATCAGCTCTGTACATGGTCCAAAGATGGTGTGAAAGAACGGGTCTTTCCACCAATCCCAATAGNACATATCCTCTACACTGAAACAAACATGCCTACCAAACAGGTAAATCTACCGAAAGTGCACTACACAATGTGGTAACACGCATAGAAAGTGCAATTGAACTCAAGGATATTGCCTTAGGAGCATTCCTTGATATAGAGGGAGCTTTTGATAGAACCTCATTTGATGTAATCAAACAGGCTGCTGGAAGGCATGGTATAGAGCCTGCAATATTCAGATAGATCAATGCTATGCTGGAAAGCAGAACCATAGCTGCTACATTATCAGGAGAAACCCTGGGGGCATCTGCGTCTAGGGGATGTCCGCAAGGGGCGTACTTTCGCCTCTGCTGTGGAGTCTGGTCGTCGACAATCTCCTGTGGGGACTTAATGATGATGGGTATTATACAGTAGGATATGCTGATGACATAGCAATCCTCATAAATGGAAAATTCCCTTCGACCATATCAGAGCATCTTCAATCGGCTCTGTACATGGTCCAATGATGGTGTGAAAGAACAGGTCTTTCCACCAATCCCAATAAGATGGTAATTATACCGTTTACTAGGTAGAGAAATATAAAGGGTCTTAAGGAACCGACTCTCTTCAGTAAGACAATCCAGCTCTCCAGCGATGTCACGTACCTTGGTCTAGAATTAGACAAGGGACTGACATGGAAAAAGCAGCTGGACAAAGTCATTAACAAAGCCTATAAGGCTTTTTGGACATGCAGGAGCATGTTTGGTAAAACTTGGGGACTGCAGCCACACGTTATACATTAGATATACACTGCGGTTGTGAGACCCATAATTACTTATGGTGTCACAGTATGGTGGCCCAGAGTTAAATTCAAGACAAGCAAGACAGAACTTAGCAAATTGCAGAGGTTGGCTTGCTTAGGCATCACAGGAGCATTTCGAACATCTCCAACAGCTGCACTGGAGATACTCCTTGGACTCCCCCCACTGCATGTACAGTTGGAGGCAGAAGCCAGGACAGGAATTTACAGTCTCCAGTGCAGTGGACAATGGAAACCTCTATCTGATGGTTTTGGCGATGCATACATGACTCAGGACATG